AAACTCCCTGTTAGAAGAACTGCAGGGGCCAGACTCAGGCAGACCTGCTGGGTAAGCACAGTGATCTGCCGGGTGCTGTAGCCTGGAGGTTGGTCTAAGAATGGAAGACTCAATTGAGTCCCTCCCCAGATAGATAGTGACAGAGGCCTGTCACCAGAGGGGTGCACTCAGTGAAGCCAGAAGGGGACAGAGGCACAGTTAGCCCTGTTACTGTGACGCAGGAAAGTGGCACCGGCACTGGGGGAGTTAGGGGGTCCGTAGCTTTCCCACTTTTTGAAAGTGGATGGTCGGCCCCCGCCCCTCACCCCCCCGATCAGGCCAGCATGGAGCCCAGTCAGGGAGCATGGGCAGTTGTGGGAGCCACACAGACCTTCCACCTGCCCATTGGGGCGGGGAGGGCTTAGAGCAGCTCCCGGCCCATGTCCCCACCACCTGAGCCCATTGCACTGTGAGCAGTTGGAGGGGCTACTGCGGCTCCCCACAGCTGCCTGCACGGTTCTTAACATGGCTAGGCTGCAGCTCTGAGGCCCTGCCCCCCCCCAGCCGGAGCTGCTTCAAGGATCGCTATACAGCCAGGCAGCTGTGGGGAGCCTGGGTCCCTCCACCTGCTCTGGGTGGGGGTCTTGGGGACAGGTATACAGATGGGGGCTGCTTTCGGCCCACCCCAGGCAGGGGGTGGGATGGGCTCTCCGGCCCCACTCTGGCCAGGGGTGGAGCCTCCAGGGGAAGAGGAGGAGCGGGGAAGGCTCTGATGCTCTTGCCCCAGGACACTTATGCATGTGGACACTCAGCTGGGTTAGTTAAGTTTTGGCGCAGTTGTAGGTTGGGGAATGGTAGAACTGGGCTCACAATGGATGGATGGCTTCCAGGAGTGGGGAGTTAGCATGACCTCTGCATGCAGCATTGGAGAGACCAAGACTGGATACCGTGGTCAACTGTGGTGTCCAAACCTCAAAAAGGAGGTTGAAAAATTGGAAAGGGGTCAGCAAAGACTTAAAAGAATGAGCCAATAGTTGCAAACGCTGCCTTAAACTTCAGATGCTCAATCTACTTAGTTTTCCAAGAAGAGATAAAGAGGTGACTTGATCATGGCCTTACAGGTACCTAGAGAAGATTTCTGCTCGGCGAAGGCTCATTGCTATAGCAAAGGCAGAACAAGAGCCAGTGACTGGAATCTGAAGCTAAATAAATTCAGACTGGCAGCGAGGTGTTTAAACATGAGGGCAGTTAGCCATTGGAACCACTTACCAGGGACGTCCTGGCAGGCTCTAAATGAAGGCTGGGTGTGTTTCTAAAAGATCTACTCAAGCTCAACCAGATACTATTGTCTCAATGCAGGAATCACTGGGTGAGATTCTCTGCCTCGCTTATGAGGGAGGCCAGACTCGATTATCCCAATGGGGCCTTCTGGCCGTAAACGCTCCGAGTCTTGAGTGTGAAGGGGCTAATGTCTGGCCAGAATACGCATAATGGGCTGGTTCCTGCTCCCAACATCTGAGTTGTGCCATTGATGTCCAGGGGAGCAGGATTAGACTCATAAGAAGCACTTGCAACATTCTGTCGCTTATGTCTTTATTAGCACTGCCAATAAGTAGGACTCAGAAAAGCAAAAGGAAAAGTCAGAAATAAACTCCTGGGTGGGAAAAGCATTCCAAAGGGGAAGGGAAGGTGAGAGGAGAAATGGACTATGTCCTTGGTGGCAGGTTAGGCGACAATACATCGAGCATCACAGTTCCTCCGTTCAGAAGGGTTAAGAATGGAGGGTTCTCTATCTTGAACTGTCATCAACATCGTCGTCACTGCTGTCATCACCATTCTCAACAGCATCAGACATAGTGGGGCATGTGATGGATGAGAGCATATCTTGGAGAAGATTGCCCTTTGGGGAATTCTTACTGGATGAGAGGTTAGTGTTGCAGAGAATTTGCTGTGAGGAAGAGAGAGAGAGAGAGATCATTGGCTGGTCAGGGGGATCTGAGATGGGCACTAGGGCTGGGGCAGCAGCCGTTTTAGTTGGGGCTATGGGGCTTGCTGCAGAGAGGGAGCAGGGGATGTAAGTTTGGCCACTTGCACCTCTAGAGTTGGAAGGTGCAATGAGGTCTTCGGAGGAGGCACGTCATACTGTGAAGTATCATTCCCTCTTACCCCCACCCCCACTACTGTACCTCTGTGTATCTAGGCTCTTACTGTGCCCATCACCAGGGAGTCTGGCCAAGAGTGGCCATCCTAGTCTAGAGCAGCACCTGGACCTTGGAACACAGGAAGATCTGGAAGGCTGGAAAAAAACTGATGTTCTGCCAATATTTTAAAAGGGTAAATGGGACGATGCAGGTAAGTCTGACATTGCTTCCAGGCAAGATCATGGGAAGTTTGTTGTGGGATGAGTAATGATTAAAGGATGGCGATGTAATTATTGCCAATCACCATCATTTATGGGAAGTAGTTCTTGTCAAACACTGCTGATAATCAGTTGTAAATGAGATCACAAGTTTGATTGATAATGGTCACTGTGTTGACATCGTATACATGGACTTTGGACATTTGACTTAGCACTGCATGACATTCTGATTAAAAAAAAATCAGCATTACACAAAAACATTATAGCACCCAGTAAATGGCTGAAAAACTGGCTAACGGAACCTCAGAAAGTACTTGTCACTCAGGAACCATCATCCTAGGAGGTGTTTTCAGTGGGGGTCCCTCTGGGATCTGGTCTTGTTTCAATGTTATTTAATCTCTTGGTCGTAGACATGGAAAGAAATGTCTACAATGGTTTGGTGATTTTTGCATGGGTTCTGGATGCACCTTATTCCTCCTTCTCAGACCCTCCCACTTTCTCCTTATCCCATGAGGTGTTGGCCCATCCCACTGACATTTTATCATGGGGGCCCTGCAGACCCAGGGCGGGAGCTAGCACCGAATGGTTATCCCAGCCAGGCTGGTAAATGTGCCTGTGCAGCGGTACCAAACTGCAAAGGCCTTTAAATGAATGTCCTTCCACTTTGCTTGCTTCCTTTGGGTGTAATTTCATAGCGTGTCCATCAGACATACCCCAGCTGGGCTGTACCACTCTGGTGACGCAAAGAGCCTCTAAACCCAGTTTAGCTGGCCAGCTGAGCAGAGTTATGGCTGCTTTGGGTCATTGGAGCGTGCCTGTGAATCTGACTCACAGATATTGCCCCCTTCACTCCCCTCAGTCTATAAGGGTCGACAGACCCCACACCTGGGGGCAAACTCAGATAGGGATCTGTGTAGCCCCATTTGCTACAAGGGATGATGATGGAATTCTGTTGGGGCTGCTACTCACCAATTTCAATTTTTTGATCTGCAGCTTTATGATTTTCTCCTCGTGCTTCCTCTTCTTCTCTTGCTCCTCATACTCTCTCTCTTGCATCTGGCGCCGGGCCTCATACTCTCTCTCTTGCATCTGGCGCTGGGCCTCTCTTTCCTCGGCCTTGTCTTTAAGCTCTCTCTGGTGCATGCGTTCCTTGTGCTGTCGCTCTCTTTCACGGTCCTCATGCTCTCTCTCGCTGCCTCTCTTCCATCTCGTGCTGTCTATTCTTCTCTGCCTCCTCGCCCTCGTGCTGTCTCTTCTTCGCTGCCTCCTCGTTCTTCAGCTTTTCCAGATCCACCTTTGTGTATAAACCACCCAGGTTATACTTGCCTTCAACTCGCCCATGTATCAGATATCCCGGGCCTGGTGCCTCACTGCCCTGCACCATGTATCATCACATACACTTGTGCAAAATGGGTGTAAAACACTTCCTGCTCAGAATGGTTGTCCTTCACATGCACCTTGCAAGGTTCTAGGCCGGGCGAATCGGGCCCACATTGTGGTGGAAATCTGCATAGCACAGCGGAGCGACACTGATTTACACCAGTTGGGGAACCAGGGTGAGGTTTGGTTTGTTCAGGGAGTGTTTCTTGGGCTCTGTGTAAATGTTTGTCCTTGTGACTCCTATAGATGCTGCTGCCTTAGAGCTATTCGGTGCCTGTGTGATGCCATGAAAGGCTGGCCAACTTTCAGCATGGCTCCTGCCTGGCTAACACCTGCTCTGCAAATGAACAAGGAACCATCCGTGTGGCAAAACCTATTTATGCCCTGAGTGCTCTAAGTGGGGCAATGTGATCTAGATGAAATTACCTACTGTAAAGTGTGTGCACAAACTTCCCTCAAAGCGTGGTTATCAATGGTTCACTGTCAAAGCGGAGGATGTGTCTAGTGGGGTAGCTCAGGCAGGTCTGTCCTGGCTCCAGTACTAGTCAATACAACAAAGTGGAGATTATGCTTATGAAATGTATGGGAAGACACCATAGTAGCATGGGATGGAAGCACTTTGGAGAACAGGGTAGATTTCAAAAGGACCTGGACAAATTGGAGCATTGATCTGAAATCAACGAGACAAAATTCAATAAAGACAAGTTGAAAGTACTACACTTAGGAAGGAAAAATCAAATTCACAACTACAAAATTGGAAATAACTGGCTAGGCAGCAGTACTGTTGGAAAGGATCTGGGGGTTATAGTGGATCACAAATTGAATATGAGCCAATATTGTGATGTAGTTGTGGAAAACGCTAATATAATTCTGGGGTGTATTAAAAGCAGTGTCATATGTAAGACACTGGAGGTAATTGTCCCATTCTACTCAGCACTGGTGAAGCCTCAGCTGGAGTATTTTGTCCAGTTCTAAGTGCCACACTTTAAGAAAGATGTGGCCAAATTGGTGCGCATCCAAAGGAGTCAACAAAAAAATGCTTAAAGGCTTAGAAAACCAGATCTATTCCTGAGGCTATGTCAACACTAGAAACTTCAAAGCACTGTCACGGGAGCGCTTTGAAGTGTGAGCGTGGTCACAAGCGAGCACTGGGAGAGAGGAGAGAGCTCTCCCAGTGCTGCTGGTAATCCACCTCCACAAGGGGAATAGCTCAAACTTGCTGCGTAAATGTAGTCAAGCCCTCAGAGAAGAAGATTGTGGGGAAAACCTGGTAAGTCGTCAAATATGCTAAAGAAGCTATAAAGACGATGATCAATTTCTCTCCATGTCCACTGAATGTAGGACAAGAAGGTAGGATGAGAAGTAATGGGCTTAATCTGCAACAAGGGAGATTTGTATTAGATATTAGGAAAAGCTTTCTAACTCTAAGGATAGTTAAATACCGGAACAAGCTTCCAAGGGAGGTTGTGGAATCCCCTTCATTGGAAGTTTTTAAGACCAGGTCAGACAAACCCCTGTCAGGGATGTTCTAGGTTGACTTAAGCCTGCCTTCATGCAGGAGGCTGGATCAGATGACCTCACCACATCCCTTCCAGCCCGACATTTCTAGTGCTCCTAGGAGCATGTCCCTGATGTGCTGAAAGGGGGTTAGACAGTGTGTGAAGCTTCTGGTCATTCCCTTTGATTGGGTTGGAAGAGCTGGTGGGTGGGATTCCCAGGAGCCCTGTGGCCTAGCCCCTGGATTCACAAAGGGACTTAGGCACCTACCTCCAACAGCCAGGCACCCTGACATTCACAGCTGCCACCTGAGTTGCCGCCTGGGGCAGGTGCAGAGGCCCTTACATCCTGACCCTGCCCTGCTACCCGGGGCTCTGGCTCACCAGTGGAATTCTCAGAGCAGGTGTTCCCCTGCCGAGCTGGCCTGCAAGGCCCGATACCGTAGGCCTGCTCTGCACACTTACTGGTTCAGGCTCCTCACAAAAGAGAGCTGGTGTTGAACAGACTGGGAATTTTGGAGGCTGGCTTGGCTGCATGTATGTCAGTCTACCCAGTAGCTGGGGCACTCACCTGGCATGTGGGCAGGCCAGATTTGAATCCCTGCTCTGCCTGATTTGAAGTGAGGACTTGAACCCATGTGAGTGCCCTAACCACCAGCGCAGGGGCTGTAGTGGGGGTGTGCGCCCCTCTCTGGTTCTTTCTGAGAAAGGGCTGACCTGGCTTCAGTTTCTAACTGCAGAGAGGGGTCGTGGTGGAGAATCCTGGGCAGAGGGAGGGGCCTCCCTCCAGCCTGTCAGGCACCTAAGTACCCTTCGGATCTGGCCCTGCAGCCTCACCCCTGTCCGCTGCATGTCACTCCTGGGCAACTCCCCACTCACTGTCTGAGAATCCCTGTCTTAGGAGCCTAACCCTCCTTGTGTGTTATCTGGGGAGCCTGAGCACCTAACTCAGGCCCAGCAGAGCCCCAGCAGTTAGGTGTCGCAGCGCCGAGTCCAAGTCCCTTTTGTGAATCTAGCCTGAAGTATCTGGGGAAAGGCCCTGGGGTTTGTGCTCCTTGGTCCCTTAGGCACTTACTCTTCAGTGACTGAACCTTGATGCTCGTTTCATTTCCCCAAGGACGATGGACGCAATAAGCTGGTAACCGTACTCAGTAATACATCTTCTGTATGTGTGTGTGTGTGGGGGGGGGTGTGGTTCTAGCATTTGTGGACTAAATATTGTGTGTGTTACAGTAGCACCTACAGGTTCCAGCTAAGATCAGGCCCCCGCGGTGCTAGCTGCTCTCCATACACATGGTGAGAGCTAGTCTCTGCCCTGGGGAATTTACAGTCTAATTAGCCAACAAACAAAGGCAGACTTGTTACCCCATTTTACAGCTTGAGACCCAGAGAGACTCCATGACTCCGATCCCTGTTCTCCTGCATGCCAGGCACCGCCTTAACCAGAAGGCAGTGGCTGGCGTGACAATAGAGCCTGTGAAGTGGAGCCGGTGCTGTCTCTGGCCTGCAGCGGGTGGGGGGGGGGGCAAGAAACCATGCTGCACTCACCTGAGATGTAAAAATGCCGCCCATCTGTGAAAACAAAAACAGAGCTCAGGATGAAACTGGGAGGGGAGGGTGAGACAGAACGGGGAACATATGGCACTGCGGGGCGGATAGAAGAGCAAGGACATTGCTGTGACTCCTGGCTGGAAGGTGGCTTTGTAACCAACCACCTACACTTGAGCTACCTCTGTCCTAAATGCTGGGCGGCATCTGCTCTGGCTCCTATTCCCCCAGCATCTGAGCCCCTTCCTGACCCACCTGGAGTCACCCCCCACCCCTGAAAGGCAGCACAGTAGCCTCACAACATTCCCGCAGGGGAGTTGAGGCACAGAGATGAAGTGCCTCACCCCAGGTCACACAGGGACAGCCGCAACTGACCCCAGCTCTCTGCACCCACAGCCAAAAGGAGCAAGGAGCTGGCTCCACAGATGAACCTGCATCCCTGTCTCCCACCAGCTGCCCCGGATCCTGCCTAGGCAGCTATGTCAAGAGGTGCTGGTCTATTGCACAGCGTGAGGAGTGCGTGGATCATAGATCCTATGGGCAGATGCTCAGACCTGCTATGCTCGCTTTGTTCCCATCAGGCACGTTCCTCCCCCCTCAGTTAAATTATGTCTCTGCACTGTAGCTAATCATCTTATTTAATTATGGGATTTATTGTTGTGGTTAATTCATGTTTACTCAGTGTGTGATGGCATGGACAGCACATGGCTCTGGCATTTGGGGAAGCTGTCCAAACCCCAGAAGCTCCCCAGGCGCCCGGACCGTGGCCCTGCCCCCTGCTCCGCCCCAAGGCCCTGCCTCCACTCGGCCTCCTCCCACAAGGCCCCTCCCACACTCCACCCCAGGCCCCACCCATGCTTAGTTCCCTCCCTTGCTGCTCTCTTAGTCGTTCCACCCCTCCCACCCCTGAGACCAGGGCCATCCCTAGCTATTCTGGGGCCCTACGCAGCCCCCCACGGTGTGTGTGTGTGTGGCCCCAGGCCTCCGCGGGAGGGCGGGGGGGGTTGGCCCTAGGCCTCTGTGGGGCTGGGGCCAGGTCGCTGCACTTCCCGCTGCTGGTGAGTGCGGCCCTTGCCCTGCTGCAGAGCTCAGGGGAGTTGGGGACAGGGCTGGGACAGGGCAGGGGTGGGAGCTCTGGGGAAGAGCCAGAGCAGGGGTTGGAG